GCCAATCAGCTAATCAACTCAAAACACCTGCAAAGGTTTCCTGAGCCTTCAAAATGGTCTCTCAGTTTGGTTCACTAGGCTACACAATCATGGGGAAGACTGCTGATCTGACAGTTGTCCAGAAGACAATCATTGACACCCTTCACAAGGAGGGTAAGCCACAAACATTCATTGCCAAAGAAGCTGGCTGTTCACAGAGTGCTGTATCCAAGCATGTTAACAGAAAGTTGAGTGGAAGGAAAAAGTGTGGAAGAAAAAGATGCACAACCAACCGAGAGAACCGCAGCCTTATGAGGATTGTCAAGCAAAATCGATTCAAGAATTTGAGTGAACTTCACAAGGAATGGACTGAGGCTGGGGTCAAGGCATCAAGAGCCACCACACACAGACGTGTCAAGGAATTTGGCTACAGTTGTCGTATTCCTCTTGTTAAGCCACTCCTGAACCACAGACATTGTTTTTTGAAAACCAACGTCAGTTAAAAAAATGCTTAATCGGCCCGATCCCAATCCTTGAGATTGGCTTGGGACATCCCTAATAATGACCTCCATGACTCTGTAGTCAAGGTCATAGTAATTACTAATTTACTAATTGTCTCTGTTGTCGTTGTATCACAGACACGGTATATGGAGGCCCGTCACTGTTTGGCTGCGGCTAGTGTCATTGCTACTCTTGCAGGAGAAATCCCCTCAGAAGCAGCTGCCAAAGAAAGTGGGTTCCTGTCTGGTGTTCATTCTTGTATATTGTTGGATGTTGTGTATTTCCCTGCATTTCCATTGCTTTACTGAATGCCATGTGATGGTTGCTAAATGAAAACAAAACTCCCTAATTTTAGGCCGTTCACATGTGGCCTTAGTTTTACTCATAGTGAAACTTTCACTGTAATAATACTGTATTTGATTATAATAGTACTGAAACAATGGCATTTAACAAAAATCTGTCTGTTATTGCAACACTCATGCTTGTCGGTTGTTTTAAATTTCATCAGATCCTGAGGTTGTACAAACCAATAAATTGTGGATTGTACAACTTTGCCCAAAATTACGGAACCTCTAACGTATAGAGATCAAATGTAAGTTAGTTTTGTGCAGAGACTCCATGAAGTACAAAAAGGTTATACCTACTAAACATCTTTGAAAGATCTAGAAAAGTGTTACAGTGGTGCATTTGAACATGGGACTAATGGTATTTACAAATGCAGAGTCAATGTTTTATATAAATTCTAAAGTCAGTATGATTTTTATTATATATATATATTTTTTAGAAGTTAATACTTTTATTGAGCAAAGAGGCATTAAATTGATTAACAATGACAGTAAAGACATTTATAATGTTACAAAATATTTCCATTTCAAATAAATGCTGTTCTTTTGAAATTTTTCCAGAAAAAATATTAAGCAGCACACCTGTACTAATATTTCAACATTGATGAAAAAATGTTTCTTGAGCAGCAAATCATTATATTAGAATGATTTCTAAAGGATCATGTGACTGAAAACTAGAATAATGGCTATTATATAAATTATATAAATTATTATGAATGTTCCCAAAGGTGATGCTGAATGTGAAAAACGTGAAGAGCTCCTGCAGAAGCGAGCCGAAATTGCCAGATGCTGGATTAAATATTGCCTTAATCTGATGCAAGATGCTAAAAAACTTCTTGAGGTAGCCATGCTTTTTTTCTTTTACATTTCGAGAGCTTTGACTTATTGACATGACCTATCTAAGCATTTTCAATTGCTCCATAGGATAATATCGGAGAACTAGACTTAGAGCGGCAGGAAGAATTGAAGAGGGCACGTCGGAATGAAGAGGAAGAAAAAGAGAAAGGAAGAAAAAGCGCCATCCTTTTTGGTTCAAGCGATACCTTTGACTCCATTTGCAGCCTGGAAGAAAAAGTAAGCAGCATGCTTCCACTAGACTTTGAGGAAGCCCGTAGCATCTTTCTGGTGGGTCAAAGCTACGTAGCCCAGGCCAAAGAGTATTTCGCAATGGATGGTCACGTGACAGATCACATTGAGATCTTGCAGGACCATAGCGCTCTCTTCAAGGTCCTGGCCTTCTTTGAACAGGATCTAGAACGGCGCTGTAAGATGCACAAACGTCGCGTTGACCTGCTGGAGCCAATCTGCAAGGATTTGAATGCTCAATACTATTTGTTAATCTGCCGACAGCTGCAGTTTGAACTTGCAGAAACCTATTATGAGATGATGGACCTGAAGTTGGCTGTGGCCGACAAGCAGGATCAGCCAGATGTGCACACCATAAAGAAGTTTAACCACTTGTGTTCCTCCTCTATGAAGTATTATCAGATGTTCCTCGACTCCACCCGCTCACCAGAGGGAAAGTTTCCTGAAAAGCTGGAGGATGACCTGTTAAGGCCGGCGCTGGTGGCCAAATTCCGTCTCGCCAGATTACAGTCCAAGCTTATTTCCAATAACCTGGCCACCCAACTGGAGAATCTCACCCACTCCCTGGAGTCATACAGTTTCTTAGTGCAATACTGTGAGGAGAACCCAGAAGCCAAGAAGTCTGTTGAAACCGAGCTAGAGTTGAGTATTGAGATGGTCTCCCTGCTTCCTCTTAAGATCAACAGAATTAGATCCAAAATGGCCCCCTGCGACTAACAGGCTGTTGAAAACAGTTCATTGTTGTCCCTCATATAAATATGAACACCTGACAAATATACACTACCCCTTGTTTATTGCCAGATCTAATGAGCCTTCCTAGGACCACCTTGTAAGAAACTCCTTCAACTGTAGAACCATTTATCACAAACTCTTGTGGATTGATGTAACTGCATGATTTACAGTCACTAATTTATTTTCAGTGTGCAATGTACAATTGTATTTAATGCAGTAAAATGTTTGTTTCAAATATCATGATTGGTATGTTTAGTTGGCCCAAGATTTAAGATATAGCTGTACTAATATTCAAGCATTTTATGCCAATAAACATGCAATAATAAAAAAAAAAATCTTTGTTTTGTCTTATTCAGTCAAGACAAATTTGAGCTTATTCACAGTATATTAAAGGAATGGCTTACCCAAAAGTCAAAATTTGCTGAAAATGTACTCACCCTTAGGCCATCCAAAATGTGCATGAGTTTGTTTCTTTGTCGTAGCAGATTTGGAGAAATGTAGCATTACATCCCTTCATCTGCAGTAAAAAGTTAATAACATTTTAATGTTTGTGCAAACTATTCCTTTAATTGTAAATTTCCATTTACACACATACACAGCTTAGTTTATTAGCAACAAACATTGTGCAGCCACAGCCATTATAGCTGGCTGAATGCAAAGAGGAAAGTACCAGACTACAATGCCTGTTGTAGTAATATCATTTAATTGAGTTGATGTAGCAAAAATACTTAGAAATCTTAAAAAAAAAAAAAAAATACTAGAAATTCTTCATTAAGGATGTGGTTCATATTGTACAAGATGGATCACAGATTAGAACAGCATTCATAATATGATCTGATTTCACAGAGTGAACTGTGCAACTAACTGCTGTTTTCAACAGACGGTTGACCCGCAAAGTATAACCCAAACTTACTGCATTTCCTTCTCTAAATATTTCAATAATACCATTCTGGTGCATCTCTTTATATGCTAAATCTATTGTATATTCATGATAAACAACTAATATCAAATAATTACCAGGATAGATCACTGACTACGGTTGAATGCAACGTTTTCACAAATTATCAACTAGAGTCTGCAATAAGAGTCTTGCTGCAGTTTAAATTTGTTTATTAAATTAATTTTTACTCTCATTTTCATACATTATAATCCAGTAAAACCCAGTGGTTTTGTCTATAATAATCCTTTCAGTTTGTGTGATCAGTTTTAGGTTAGGTTAAACTAAAGAAACCTCTTGCGTGGATGTTAAAAAGAAAAAATAAATACACTGAATTTTGTCATAGCTTTATCTGAGTAACCGTTAAAGAAGAGATGCATAGAGTGCAGGAGTTTTCCCAAAGGAAGTTTTAGTCAAGTCTCTGCAAGGAGCAAATATGTCTTGGTCAGAGGAAGCTTTACCAAACCTGAAATTACACGCTCTGTTCTTGAGATATCAGATCAATATACTTGAAATATGTGGGCCAAAATACCAGCAACAGTGTGTGAAAACCTTGTGAAGACTTACAGAAAACGTTTGACCTCTGTCATTGCCAACAAAGGGTATATAACAAAGTATTGAGATTAAATTTGGTTATTGACCAAATACTTATTTTCCACCATAATTTGCAAATAAATTCTTTAAAAATCCTACAATGTGATTTTCTGGAATTTTTCTCATTTGGTCTCTCATAGTTGAGGTATACCTATGATGAAAATTACAGGCCTCTCTCATCTTTTTAAGTGGGAGAAAATACTAAATACTTTTTTTCCCCACTGTATATACTGTGCACAACACTGCTCCACTATATTTTACTGTTTCACATATATTTAAAAAATGTATTCAGATGCTCATGTTTATAGCAACATATACCTCTCACTTCAAAATACAGTCTGTGCCTGACACACTATAGGGTACAGAGATTAAAAATAAAATAACTGATTTCACTTTTTAAAGATAAGAGCAAATCCATAAACCTGGAGCATATAAATGATGGACTGACCTCACTTCCATTATAAAACTTGCAAATTAATTAGCCATTTGTCACTCACTTTAGCTAGGTTCTAGCTTTCAGTTTTCCAATGCCTTTTTATTAGTTTATGGATTGATAACACATACATTCTAAAATCATTTTTTATTGTGAATCAAATTATGGTTCTCTCATTGGACCTTTTTTCTCATATTTTTTGTTTCGTTTTAATCTAACTTGTTTTGCCATTCCTGTTGTGTATTTTTAAAACAACGTTTGGATTCCTGTGTGTATTAGTTGGCTAGTACTCGGTGTTTTTTAGGATTGAGTGTTGAGAAACCTTGCCAAACCGAGCTGCTGTAGGCTGCTTTCAGGAAACAATGACGCACACATGGGCAGGGTCTTTTACATAGGCTACTATTGAACTGGGAAAAGTTCTTGTCCGACGTTCATCTGAAGACATTTTCTTTCGCATCTTCTGCTTGACAGGGACAACAGAATGAGCATTTACCACAGAATAACTTTGGCACTGGCAATAATATGCCTTTTTGGGGACATCGGACTGGGTAAGTTTTTCACGCATTTTAAGATCAGTTGTTAAAATAGATGATAAAGTATAAGGTTAATGGACTGTTACGGAAAGTGTTTCTGGGTTTTAGAAACTGCGTGTCTTCATGTAAAGTTCAAAGGAAATCATTATAAATTATATTTTAAGGAAATAAAATAAAATAAATTGAAGTAACTTTCAACACCAGTAGTTGTCTGTCAAATCCATTTTTCAGTTATACTGAAAACATATATACATCCAGCTCTGTTATAATTAAGCTTGACATGACGCTTTTAATTAGTCAATTAAAAAGAAAGAAAAATCATTTACTTTCATTATATCGAGCGTTTCCCATACTGACATTACTTAGTAGGCTAGCTTAATAATGTTTTTTTAAAATAAGTGTGGAAGTCATAATTTACTTGTTCTTCGATTCCGATATCCGGTTCATTAACGGGTCTATCAACTAATCTTTTAATACTTTTGAGGAGGAAATATTTAGATTATTGTGTCTTATTCCACATACTGTGCTCGGCAGGCTGTTGCCGATTAGCCTAAATCATTTTATTTCAACAGCAGAGACCGGACTATTGGTCGAGATGTGTGGTTTTGAATCACTAAAAAGATCCGGCTCATTAGAATCATTCGTTCGTATTTCGGACTACACTGCAATGTGAAGCATGGTTTTGATTCACTAAAAAGAATCGACTCCTTGGAGTTGTTAGTTTGGGTAGCAGCTGCAGGAAATTGTTTCATATAGAGAAAAATGTCATATAGCACGATATTCTTCGGCGGAATTCAATATAATACATAATAAAAATACACAAACAAACAAACAAACAGACAATGCATAAGATAATACATCATAAATAAAAACTTAAAACATACTGAATCTATTTATAAATACAATTTGTGCTTAAAAATGACAAAATAGGCTACATAATAAAAACACAGAAGATATTTAAGTAGGCTAATCTGGCATGTTCATTATTAACAAATCATTCCAGAGGAGTTTGAGGACGGTGTTAATGTCTGACAAGCCCCTCATCTGTCATTCTTTATTATCCCTGAACACAGGAGCCCCATACAAAGGCAGGTATATGTGGGTGAAATGCAACCCGGATCATAAGAATGCAAACTGTGTCACACAGATGGGCCCCTTGGTGCCCCTCTCAGGGCAAAGCTCTCGACTTCCGCCTTCTGCTGCAAAACACATGTAAGTTGCCTGTTTATTCATATATAAAATATTCATATTTATGTCTAAGATTAGTCAAAACTAACAGGATGTATGCACGCCACTTCTACAAATTAACTTTCATTTAATTCGATTTAGTTTTAATAGCACAACGAAAAATCATATCGCCACTATCCCTGCTGTCATATCTTGTGTTACAGCTTAATCATCCAGCAATAGTCTAATAATTTCAAAATCTGCAAGAGGAAGATGGAGTTTTTACGTACCCGTATAGGGCTTTTAAAGAAATCCTTCAGGGATGCTATCAGGGTGTTAAAATAACAACCAGCAAGTAAACAAAGGGGTCTGTCAAACAGAATGAACTGTAAGAGATTTTTTTCTACCTACAGGAAGTACTGATTGCTTCCTCATTAAGTATCAAATAGAAAATGAAGATTAGATGAGATGTTTAAGAAATGAAACTATTTAACAAAATATGCTGAAGTTGTTGAACGTCAGGGCCATTTCCCGAATCACTCATATGTTGTGACATATTGATTGTGAAGCTTCACCACATGATTCAAATCTCTGTTATCGTTTTCTTGCCAGTGCAGATTATTTCTGCTGAAAGTAGTTTAGACTATGTCTTTTCTTGGAAATATAAATATTCATAAGGCTTTACAGATGTTTTCTGCAAGGTTTTATAATGTCAAATATACATTTTTAGTTCTCATTCCTGCAACAACAAATGTTGTGTATTATATAACTAGATAAGGTCCTAGATAAAGCACTCAAATGCTTCATCATTTCTGCTAATCAAACAATGTGATTATGGTTTTATTGATATCAGTGTAACATCAATGTTTTTTAATTAGTTCTTCAGATTGTGCCTTTACTCAGCATTTCTCAAGCTGAATCACTTCCTTCCACACATCAATCACATTGACATCACAGCAGCTGGATCTCCTCAAAGTGTTCATGATCTTCATAGCCGGAAAACATAATATCTCACAGATCAACAAGATAACTAGCATATTTCTCAGTAAATTAAAGGGATAGTTCTCCCAAAAAGGAAGATTTTGTCATCATTATTGATCAATTTTATTTTATTTTTTAACACAAAAGAAGATATTTTAAAGAATGTTGGCAACCAGATTCTGGTTGGTAAACAGTTGGCAACAACAACTGTTTCTGGTCTCCATTGACTTCCATAGTAATTTTGTCCATACTGTGGAAGTCAATGGCTACCAGCAACTATTTGGTTTCTTCAAAATATCTTCTATCGTTCAACAGATGAAAGAAACTCATACAGGTTGGGAACAACTTGAGTGTGAATAAATGACAGAAATGTCTTTTTTGGGTTAACTGTCCCAATGTTCACCCACTGTTTTTGTTAACGGTTACATTTCCCAATATATTCCCTGTACTACTCTAAACATAGTGCTTGTCACAAGGAATATGTCATTTTTATTTAGACATTCCATTTTGTTTTTTTAAGTCTAGAGTGGAGAGGTCAGTGAGATGGTTAAGAAATGGGCTCCTTATGTTCTCAGCAAAATTACAGGAAGGGCTGAGAGGATGTTGGAGCGCTCTAGAATGACTTTGTGCTATTGTTTCCAACAGATTCCCAGTTAGCACAGAGGAAGCCACTCCTGAGACGGAGGAGCAGTCAGGAGAGGGTTCAGGTAACTCAGACACCTTCGCTCCTTTTATCAGTATGGATCAGCAGTTGATGAGAGACGGTCCAGAGCAAGAACTCAACAAGAATGAAGAGGAGGGATCGACTGTCGAGTCCAGTGGAGACATCGATTACGCCAAATATGTTTCAACTCAGAAAATAGATTGGCTTTCTAAACAGGATTTGAAAGAGGAAGACATTATTGCATAAAGGGCTACATTACATCTCATTTGTTTTTTTGTTTTTTTCTTTTTGAACCATACGGGATGCTGCTTTTTTGGTCACAGATATAATTAATATATATTCTTAAAATGTGACATGATCTGCAAAAGTGTATTTTATTCCAGTTTGCATTGTAAGGATCTATTTTTATTTGCTCTTCAACTTTGAAACTTTTATATTATTATTATTATTATTATAATTTTATTTACTCTTAATGTCCACAGTGTGACCCATGATCTGTATTAAAACAATAATTTTAATTTTGGAATGGAAATATTACTCAATTCAACAGAGGCAATTTAAATAAAATGTTTGGATAGAATTTTGTAAAAAAAAATATAAACAGCTTGAAAGATCAAAGACCATTTTTTATATAACTCCGACTGGATTCGTCTGAAAGAAGAAAGTCATATACGCCTAGGATGCCTTGAGAGTGAGTAATTTATGGGCTAATTTTCATTTTTGGGTGAACTAAACCTTTAATAAATTGTATAATTCAGTTATTGAAATAATCACAACAGACACAAATAGAGTACAAAATAATGCCTGAAAGTATAAAAAAATAAAAAAAAGTTTTTCTTTTCTTTGTTTGTTTGTTACCAACCTGTTACCAACATTAGGTGCATGGAAAAAAGACAAATTCTCGCATTTTAATAATAATAATAATTCCTTACATTTATATAGCGCTTTTTTGGGCACTCAAAGCGCTTTACATAGAAGGGGGGAATCTCCTCAATCACCACCAGTGTGCAACATCCACCTGAATGATGCAACGGCAGCCATATTGCGCCAGAACGCCCACCACACACCAGCTTATTGGTGGAGAGGAGACAGAGTGATGAAGCCAATCAGCAGATATGGGGATGGTTAGGAGGCCATGATGATCAGAGGCCAATGGGCGAATTTGGCCAGGATGCCGGGGTTACACCCCTACTCTTTTTCTAAAGACATCCTGGGATTTTTAATGACCACAGAGAGTCAGGACCTCGGTTTAATGTCTCATCCGAAAGACGGTGCTTTTTGTCAGTATAGTGTCCCCGTCACTACACTGGGGCGTTAGCACCCACACAGACCACAGGGTGAGCACTCCCTGCTGGCCTCACTACCACCTCTTCCAACAGCAACCTAGTTTTCCCAGGAGGTCTCCCATCCAGGTACTGACCAGACTCAACCCTGCTTAGCTTCAGTGGGCAATCAGTCTTGCAGGGTGATATGGCTGCTTTTAATATTACAACACGAATATATCTAAACTAAATGTATGTGAAGGAGTGTGTGAAATATATTAATAATAATAATAATAATAATAATAATAATAATGTCTAGATGCATGCTATTTGGGCTTTTATTGTTTACTTTATCCAATAGCTACAAAATATGATTATACTAATTATGGGATAAAAATAAAACTAATAACTGAGAAAGTAAGAACAAAAACCTTACCAACATAATAAAAAATAAAAAAACTTTTATTTTGAAATCCAGTAGCACGGTTAATGTTTCAGCGCTCACACGCTGTGTTCCCGTCGGTCCCAGTCCGTTCAGGGGATCCAGTGGAAGCTGTACTGAGGAGGACTGCGTTAAAGCTAAAGCCACGGAGCTGAAATGGTGAGCGTTAATTCAGACTGCATTTAATGTTTAAAATTCTTGCACTTACTACACCGCTTGCCTTATTCCCTCTGGAATAATAGCTCACGATCCTGGCGAACATGTTTGCAGTGTATCCAGTCTGAAGTAGGCCAGGGAAGTCGTGAAGGATTGGGTGGGGAGGCTGCTTATTATCATATCAGTCAGCGATAAAACACAGTAAACGGGCTCTAGTGACTGTAAAAATTGGCTCTAATGGAGCATATGTACATCTTGAGCTTGTTTAAAAAACTTACATCCACGCAAATCCTCCAGGACCGTTAAAAACATCTGTAAAGCTGAAGGTTAAATCCAAACTAGATACCGAGTTCATGCTGTTTTTCACTAAAGTGAAGCTGTTTGTAAGTATACAAATCTGCACTGCAGTACCGTATGGATATTGAGCAATGCAATGCACATGATAGTTAGACGGTTTCCGCACTGCGTCGGCGTTTCCTTTAGCTATTCCATAGATGTGATTATATTTGTATTGAGACATATTTAACAGTTAAGCTAATAGCAACATATGTTCATTTATGTGTAAAATTACTGTGTAAAACGGAAGACACCAACGAAAATGCCATTCAGTGTAACAATAGTTCATATAGCAAAAAGTTTTGTCAGGCATCTTTAGAACAAGAAACATTTGGTGACATTAAAAGAAATTACATCATTTAAGGATCAAAGTGCATCTTAAAACCAAATTTTTGATTGCTGCATGCAATGTATTTTGTTTTCTGTCTAGCCACTGCATAAGTGTGTGTGTCTCCCTTCATGCAGAGCTCTTCAGTGATAAAAGCAATACTCATGAGTTTGTAAACCTTGTGAAGGAGCTCGCTCTGCCCGGAGAGCTGACACAGAACCGCAGCTATGACTTTGAGTTCATGCAGGTGGAAAAGCCATACGAGTCTTATGTTGGAGCGAATGTGCGATTGAGGTTAGTGAAGACTTTGCAGATGTTTTTTTCCCCCCTTCATCGTGGCTAAGTTTGGCCAAACACTAATGAGAAAAATCACATTATTTGTCTTTTGACTGCTGCTTTAGGACACAGTTAATCTTTCAAATTTGTCCTGGCTTTAATTTAAACTCGTATCTTTTTCGAAAAGTCAGAAGATCATATGCTTTTTATATCTCTGCAGGTATTTCCTTAAAGTTACAATTGTGAGGAGGCTGTCTGATTTGGTGAAGGAGTATGACCTCATTGTGCATCAGCTGGCCTCCTACCCTGACGTCAACAGCTCTATCAAAATGGAAGTGGGCATTGAAGACTGCCTACATATAGAGTTTGAATATAATAAATCCAAGTAAGTGCACTTAAAACTTTACTGTTGATTTAATCCTAGTTACATAAAGTGAGTTGCTGAGTAATTCTAAGTATGTATGGATTCATTGGCTTAAAATTATTAGTCTAAATGAGCTAACAAAAGTTTTTTTGCCTATCAGGTATCACCTCAAAGATGTAATTGTGGGTAAAATCTACTTCTTACTTGTACGGATTAAAATCCAACACATGGAGCTTCAGTTGATTAAGAAAGAAATGACGGGAATTGGTATGATGATCTTTTGTGTTGTTTTATACACGCATATGTGAATATGATTTATGCATGACTGTTTTGAAAAAATATTAAAGAACATTTTATAGTAGTCCAGTTTCTTTTGCATGTTATTTATTTTAAACAAGAACATTTCTTTATATACACTACCATTCAAAAGTTTGGGGTTGGTAAGATTTTTTAAATGTTTATGAAGCATTTTTGCTCACCAAGGCTGCATTAAACACAGTAAAACAATACTGTAAAAACAGTAATATTGTGAAGTATTATTACATATTACAAAAATAATATTTTCTATTTTACTATATTTTAAAGTAATTTATTCCTGTGAATCTGAATTTACTGCAGCCAGTGTCACATGATCCTTCAGGAATCATTCTAATATGCTGATTTAGTGCTCAATAAACATTTATGAATTTATCAATGCTGAAAACCATTGTGTTGCTTAATATTTTTGTGGAAACCATGATATATTTTTTCAGGATTCTTTGATGAATGGAGTTAATCAAAAGAGCAACATTAAAAAATGTTAAAAAACGAGTTCAAAAGACCAACATTTATTTGAAATATAAATCATTAATAACATAAAATATCTAATATTAAAATTTTATTTAAAAAAATTAATAAAAAAATTTGCCCCCAAACTTTTGAACAATAGTATATTTGTAATACATTTTTATAAACTTAGTTGTTTTTTTCCCATAACTTAATCACTTAAAATTCATTAATTTCTCATTTGGTGCTGAATAATGTAAGATTGAAGTGCATCGTGTGACATGCTTCTCTAGGGCCGAGCACAACTACTGAGACAGAGACTGTGGCCAAATATGAGATTATGGATGGAGCACCAGTGAAAGGTGAGCAGCTGCTTCACACCATTTTCTGTATCATTTTGTAATGATATGAGTGTAGATGAGTCTTTTAAAAAGTTTAATAGTTACTACAGAAGACGGAGTAATAATGCCAAGTAGACCATAATAATGGGCCTCATTCAGGAATCAAAACAGAACAAATTTCTGTGTAAACCATTCATTAAACCTTTCGTGCATGAATCATCACATTCAGTTTAAGGCAGGGTTATTATAGTAAAATAAACTAAAGCCATACAAAATGTTTTTACTTGAAATAAAAAAAAGAACTTAAACGTTTTATTTCGGCTAGTTGCCACAGAAACATCTAATTTTCATTTAGTTTAACTTGATGTAATAAACTAACTAAAACTGAAATTAAAAATTTATAAAAGCTATACAAAAAATAAAGCTAACAAAAATGACTAAACAACCAAATTACTAAAACTTCAGCTAAAATGAAATGTAATTCAAAATATTCAAAAAATTGTATTTCAAAGATACTAACACTGGTTCAATGCTTCATATAACATCTATATTATATATTGCCAGTTTCATTATTCCTAAACTGACTTTTTTCTTCCTACTGCGCTAAAAATTTATTTCTAGGTGAATCCATTCCTATTCGCCTTTTCCTGGCTGGTTATGACCTTACACCCACAATGAGAGACGTAAACAAGAAGTTCTCTGTGAGGTACTTTTTGAACTTGGTGCTTGTGGATGAAGAAGATAGGAGATACTTCAAACAGCAGGTACAGTTGTAATCAAATTTACAGTATGAAAAAAAATTATATAAAATCTATAAGAATTCTATAAAAATTGTACTTTCAGTGTCTCTTTGTCCAGCAAGGTGAATAGAATGATTTGTATTATTTGTAGGAAATAGTTTTGTGGAGGAAGGCACCAGAGAAACTGCGGAAACAGAACTTCCATCAGCGCTACGAGTCACCTGAGCCTCGGCCGAGTCTCTCTGCTGAGCAGCCGGAAATGTGAGCGGGTTTTGGAAAGCAACCATCCAGGGACACACATACCTCTCAGTGACCAGTCGCAGGAGAGGAGAACATCTTCCACCGAACATACAAGCAGATCGCTGTTCACATGGTCACCCCTCACAGCTTATGGTGATGAACTGTGCCTGATTTGGCTCGGTCCTCCCTGCCGTCTACAGCAAGCAATCTGTTAGTATACAAGGACACTTTTTAGAAAGCACTGGAAACAATGTAAGTAATCTAGCACATCTTGAAGGTTGCACGCCTCCCTAGATGAAGAAATGTTTTTAAAAGTGCACTCACTGGTATCCTCTATGTTCCACATCATAGAGCAGAAACACATAGAACTAAACACATTTTAAAGAGCTTCTTCATGCATGCTAGCCGCTGAATCTGAGTGCATAGTAACAGTTAATAAAGGCAATGGTGTCAGTTTAATTAAAAAGGTCAAGAAATGTAATGGCACCCAGGCTACACTGTATTTGCAATCCACTTAATGTTGTAAAACATTTCTATTTAACTTGTTTAGCCATCTTCTCTGTTGTTTGTTTCTTAAATACTCTTTGTTAAATGAATTCTGTCCTTGAAATAAAAAAGTATATATATAAAATATTTTAAAGAAGTTTTGGACTAGAAGCTTTATAAAACTAGGACAGTTTGTGTAATTATATTGGGCACATGTATTCAACTTGTCAGCCCAGTTTTGAATAACATACTGGCTTAGTAGTAAAAGTGAATTTCTGAGATGATGCATTGCTATTTATTGCTAAATATCATCTCTGCTGCAAATACATTTCATACCATCTAAATTGTTAGACGCCCCAGAGAAATGATGGAATTTTGTTGTATCCTTTGCATGTCATCCTGCTATAATGTTTCCTAACAAAGAGGGATGTTAACAATTTTTCATTGTTGCAAATGTGCTCTTGCATATTTTGTGGTTTATGGATTAAATGTTTATTTGGACCTTTTCATTTTGAAACCGTTTTTGATTTCACTCTAAAACCAAATGTATTCACTTTTTTTTTCTCCGTTCTTCTATTGCTTTGATTTTAAAACTCACACTACATTACTAATGGAAATGTCTGTGTACAAAGCCATCGAGTGCCCCAATGGAAAAGACGTAACGAGTGTTTGGAGAACTGATTGAATAGTTGTGCTATGGCAACGGAGTCATTTGTACCTCTTGAAAAATTGTACATATCAAGTCATAGTTTGTTTATCTGCCAATGTCAAATAAAAATGAAAGTTTATACTTACAGCTACACTATGTATTTATAAAAATATCAATGTTATTATTGAGTGGTGCTAAAAATCCATCTTTCAAACCATGTTTTACCTAGAAAAACTTGATAAACCATAGTGACTTGGAGCTGTCGGGACCACTGATCTAAACAATTTTTCATTGTTGCAAATGTGCTCTTGCATATTTTGTGGTTTATGGATTAAATGTTTATTTGGACCTTTTCATTTTGAAACCGTTTTTGATTTCACTCTAAAACCAAATGTATTCACTTTTTTTTTCTCCGTTCTTCTATTGCTTTGATTTTAAAACTCACACTACATTACTAATGGAAATGTCTGTGTACAAAGCCATCGAGTGCCCCAATGGAAAAGACATAACGAGTGTTTGGAGAACTGATTGAATAGTTGTGCTATGGCAACGGAGTCATTTGTACCTCTTGAAAAATTGTACATATCAAGTCATAGTTTGTTTATCTGCCAATGTCAAATAAAAATGCAAGTTTATACTTACAGCTACACTATGTATTTATAAAAATATCAATGTTATTATTGAGAGGTGCTAAAAATCCATCTTTCAAACCATGTTTTACCTAGAAAAACTTGATAAACCATAGTGACTTGGAGCTGTCGGGACCACTGATCTATATATATAATATCTATTATAGATCACCATAGCAAAGTCATGGTGAATTTAGTTTACCGGTGCCTTATGTTTATTCATATTGGAATCGCCTGACAGACAATATTGTTTGGAAAAAGGTTTGGTTAATACCTAATCAATATTTAATTACAAACAAGGTTAAGGAAGAATCATTCAAAATTATACACAGGATTTACCCAGCCAAATATTATTTGGTAAAATTTAAATCTGATACTGATTTTAGTTGCTCCTTTTGTGTCAGTTGCCCTGAAACTGTGGTACATTTGTTTTGGCATTGCCCTTTTGTAAAACTATTTTGACAAAATGTAATTTTATTGTACAAAATATTGATAATCATTTTTTGTTATGGAAAGATGTATTATTTGGTATATTGGAGAACAGCAAAGAAAAGCACAGTCACGTTTACATGATAAATCTTATTGTTTTACATGCAAAATTTCATATTCACAAATGTAAGTTCTCATGCAAAATAAAATTGTTTTTTTTTCTTTTAGGAAGGAAATGGAGCATTATATTGATACTCTTCGATTTTCTATGAAACAAAAAGCAATTAAAACGGAGAAAGTCTGTAAACGCTTTAATATTTTTATATAAATTTGTATTTGTATACAGCCCCTCTAGTGTGAAATTGTTTCGCCGCCTTCTGGGGAGACGACTCTCACTCTCACAGTGCATTATTATTAGCATCTAGTATTATTATCCAGGTATTATCTAGCCTTTGAGCATACATCAGTTGTACCAAAGAGTATAGAAGACCAAGAGGCGAAACTCGGTAGAACGTTCCATTGCAGCAGCAGCCCTGCGCTTCCGCCATTCTGGAGTGAACGCGACTCGGCACTCCACTAGATTCTAGCGGTCGCTATGGCAACTATCAGCTGCTTTGTTTAAAACAAAAACCATACATTAAAGCTGAAATACAGCCTGAACAATGACAACAATAACGCACAATCACTAGACTAGTTTTAGACCCTTTTAACAGTTTATTTTACAGATTTTATTTTAAAGTCTTCCCTTTTTTCACAAAACCTTTTGCTCTCTAGAAACCATGTCAGTTTCGGTTGAAAATATTTTAAGTTGAAGTGTTAGCATTATACACACTGAATTAATACCAACATATGAAACTAAATGAATGACAGAAAAATTAGGAATGTTGGAAAATAAATATATAACAGATTGACAGTAAACTGTTTTTGCAGTATTGTCTTAATGTCCGTTAAAGGAAGACTGTAAACAAAAAAAACTTTTTTATGTAAAAAACACACACTTACACACACACGTACAGCCACTTTCTCCAAAATTGTTAATTAATTATGACAGACACAGCAATGCATCATGTTCTAATCTAGATCATCACTGAATGACAGAAAAATTAGGAATGTTGGAAAATAAATATATAACAGCTTGACAGTAAACTGTTTTTGCAGTATTGTCTTAATGTCCGTTAAAGGAAGACTGTAAACAAAAAAAACTTTTTTATGTAAAAAACACACACTTACACACACACGTACAGCCACTTTCTCCAAAATTGTTAATTAATTATGACAGAGACACAGCAATGCATCATGTTCTAATCTAGATCATCACGTTTGTAGAGTGTTCCAGGGGATTAAAACGTACAATATATATTTCAGACCTAGTGGAGTAATAGTAAATAATAATATAGTAATAGTAAATGTGTAAAGTTGCATAAGCTCATTACTTAGTGTCATATCCCTATAAATCGTTATTATGGTTTCTATGGCTAGGACCAGCAGTTCCTACAAGGATTTAAGTTTACTACTAGACTAAAAACAGTTCAAGTTAGCAGGTGCATAAGACAGCGATACGTCCCCCTTCAAAACACACAATATTTGACACTTTTGTGAATAATTACCTGTCAGGGTCTTTGGGAAAACGATGAAAGGCAAGATTTTTACTGTCACACTGATAGTTTTTGCAGTGGATTGTCCAACATTGCGTTCTTTTATTCCACTTTGACCTCTCTTTCGTTGTTATTCTGTCTGTTTCTGTGTATCTGTGCGGTTGTCCAGTTGGTATTTTCACCCCAAAATGGCGGCCGCGCTACCGAAGCGCCACCTAGTGGCTGTTACCCAAAAAGCATCAGAGTTTCGCCTCTTGGTCTTCTATACTCTTTGGTTGTACACTCGATAATGTCCACTAAGGTTTCGGACGCCACTAAAAATGTCTGTCCCCTCAAATAGTGCCCCATTTAAGGGCATAGTATAGGGAGCGATTTCGGACACAGAGCTGATTAGAACTGTTTGTAACGTTACATGTCAAACCCCGCAAGTAGTTTCAGTTTGTGCCACTTTCCAAAAATGATTAACCTTCAATATTGCACATGTTATAGCGAACGTATTCTCTTGATATCATAGTCTATAATACACTTCATAGACTATGATATATTTCCCCTAAATATTTCCAATCTTGACTTTAACACTTGAATCATTAGTGAAAAAATAAAAAAAAACAGGCATTACTTCGGGTACCAAAAATCCTTGGGTCCTTCTGCACGTTGTCACTGAGAGGAACTTGTCATCATAGAGGCTGGTACTGTTGCTGTAGCTAAACAGAGTTAATTAACATGATGTTTATAATATAAATTGTGCGACCGCGACTGTCAATTTGTATTATTCTGCTCGACCAATTGCACTGGATTAACGGAAGCTAAAAATGTCGGCAAATCGCTGTGTTTACTTATTGTCGCGCTCTCACATCCGATACCGGGTCTGTGCTAGCACAGCTGCTGTAGCAAACAACACTACACTGCATCCAACAAGAAGGACATTTGAAAAATTATCAAGTAGACATTCAAATTCAAACAGTTCATCGAGACCCCTGGACACATCCCTGTTTGTACCGCTCACCGTCAAAAGTGATGAAGGCGGGGACGGGCCAGTCGGCGAGGAGTTGACGCAACCGCTGGACAAAAGTAAACTCCGTGTTTAGTAGTGTTGTGTTAATAGTATATAATCGATTTATAGATGACTCACTTGAAGTTCTGAACATTCATATTTGCATCTGAATGTATCTTTAATATACCTCATTCAACATATGTATATGAAACCAAACTATATCTTTGACCATGCAGATGAAAA